ATACATATATATGATATATATAAATATATGCAAAATTGATGTGGGTACTCAAATGAAAGCTCTTGATGAGTGTAACATCAAAATGAGCTTATATCTTCATACACGTCAATATTTAAGAAAATACAGTGCAATTTAACAAAAGCTATTATTTAATAAAGCAAAATTTTAATTTTTTTATATTTCACAAGTCACGGCAGTCACATAGTGACTGCGAGGTTGCTAGTAATAAATTAATTATTTAGTTCAAGTTTAATATAAATTATAACTATTTTTTAAAAGTATACTTAATAGAGCTTTTCAAAAATGTTTAATTATTTTTTTTTTTACTTTTATCAAAAGTTTGATAAGACAACCATCATACCTATTTTTGGAATGTGAAACGATAATATCAGGAAATAATTTTGAGTAACGACATTGTTAACTTTTTTTTTCCCTCCGTTTTTTCTTTCATTTGAGCTTTGATCGAGGTCGGTGTAATGATTTATGACAAAGCCGTGGGCTATCAACGTCCGAATGATGCTTTCGACTTTCACAATCAATATCTCATAAGCCAACTTTTGTGCGAGTGTTAAATAGACAGGAGTTTTCAAAAGCTTACACTATGACTTTTTGAATGAAATTATTCATTTTTTTATGGAAAAAATTTTTTATGGCTGTCTATTTGTGTGAATGTCACTCGATAAAACCATATAGAGAAGTCGAGTCGATTGTTTCTGTCGGTTAGCATTAACTAGTGGAATTAACCTGCCATTGGGCAGACAATTTATTTTACTTTCAGTACTGTATAATTTTGAATCTGTATTTGAATTTTAAAAAAATAAATTTATATTTTATCGACAACTGATACTTATACCTGTTTATACATTCTCAAAAGTTACTTTTGAAAAATTTTAAGTCATAAATTAAAAAAAATTGACAATTTATTTTTAGGTCGAGATAAAAAAAAAGTTATGAGATTACGCATTTTTCAAGAAGACCTGTAACATGAAGAATTTAGTTAAATAAAAAATGGTCGGTGTCACGACCTCAGTGATTTGACATGAACTACCCTACATAAAAGAAAAAAAAGTGAAATTTCACTCCTGTTTCTTTTATTCATGAAGAAAAAGATTTTTGTCCTGTTATTGAGGGATACCCTTCTATCGGTCACATTACCTCATCCTTAGAACAGAATAAGCGCTTAGAAAGTATTAAATATATAGAATGAAAATCAAAGCAATAAACTCACAATTTGTGTCAGCTTTAAAAATTTTTTTAAATCGAAGAAAGTTCTTCATTGTATAAATAACAAAATACTAGCAACCTTGCAGTCACTATGTGACTGCTGTGACTTGTGAACTATAAATAAATAAAATTTTATTGAATAATGACTTTTGTTAAATTGCACTGTACTTTCTTGACTATTGACATTTTTAAAGCTATAAACTCATCCCGATGTTACACTCATCAAGAGCTTTCATTTGAGTACCCACATGGATTTTCATATATTTTTCATATATTCATATATATAAATATATAAAATATATGAAAAATTGATGTGGGTACTCAAATGAAAGGTCTTGATGAGCGTAACATCGGTATGAGCTTATATCTTTAAAAATGTCAATATTTTACAAGATACAAGGTAGTTTCTTAATTATAATAAATTGCACTGTACTTTCTTAACTATTGACATTTTTAAAGTTATAAACTCATCCCGATGTTACACTCATCAAGAGCTTTCATTTGAGTACCCACATGCATTTTCATATATTTTTCATATATTCATATATATATAAATATATAAAATATATGAAAAATTGATGTGGGTACTGAAATGAAAGGTCTTGATGAGTATAACATCGGGATGAGCTTATATTTTTAAAAATGTCAATATTTCACAAGATAAAAAGTAATTTCTTAATTAAATAAAAAAAAAACTCGAATTTCAATTTGTTATTTAAAAAAATTAATAATATTTTTCTGTTCTTCAAAATCGATCATATCATTCATTTTTTCAAGCGATAAGCTAATTTATTCATCATCTCTTTAAACGCAACATTATCAAGTTTGTTCGATTAAGTAATAAATTAAATGCACGGAGAAAGGGAGTGATAGTACTTGGTAATTAGCGATTATTTCATTACCGAATTAAGGCTTGACAAAGGATAGAAACGTGGTTCAATTAAGTAATCGCTAAGTACGATTAGTTCTAGTTTCCTGGGATTTAATCTGTTATTACTTATGTAATGTTACTTGAAATTAACCTTTTAATTTTTTATCACATCTTTAACATAAAAATTAAAATTTTCTAGTAATTTTTTTTTCTTTACTTGAATCAAGAATTTTTCTTCTAAATTTTTTTCTTACTGTACAAACCTACTGTCATAAAAATACTTTTTACAAAGTTAAGTATCCACCTGACATACCTTAAAAGTGAAATTGACATTTGTATGAACATAAACTAAGCAAACACAAATATCGAACGAAAGATATGTATGTAATAAGTGAGAATGCCGTATACACATGAATGGAACATGCGCGTTTGATCACTCGAGCTATGAGCTATGAGGTAATCATCACCGGTGAAATACATAGAAAATCTAATGAATAACAAGTACCAAAGGTACATATATATATATATCTACGGTCTGTCTCCACTGGGAATTTTACTTTCTTTTATTAAACAGACAGTCGTGCGACCAAAGGTAATTATAACTATTTGCTTATCACAAATAATCATACTCTGGATATTCTATATATATATATATATATATATATATATATATATATATAATACATTTAATCAATTCCGACATTAATTTGATAAAATAAAATTGTCTTTTGAGCTCAAAATTTTCCTTCAAAAGATAAAAATAAAAA